GCATCCTATTTGGGGCAATTTTAGGGGCAAAAAAAAGGTTGATATTTGACACCTCTAAAATTTTATTAACTGTATATAATTGCAGAGAATTTTTTATGCAGATTAATACTTATATAAGAACAATGAATTGAAATCAATTATTTAAAAAGTTATTCACGTTTTAAAAGTACATTTTTATATAATTATATAAACAACTTACTTAAATAATTAGTTAATTTTTGGAAAACGTTTGTATACTTATATTTACGAAATCGCACAATTCGATCAAATTTGATTGCATTGCAACAACATATTTTTATGTATTGTTAAAATTTATGTCCCAGCCGGCATTTAGTCCTAAAAAGACGTCTTATGAACGTTTAAAAGACGCTCTGAACGTCTTTTGAACGTTTAAAAGACGTCTTTTTAGAACCAAATGCCTGCTGGGTTGTTTGTCGTCTCAAAGTTAAATATTATATAGTTAAAATTGTTTGTATACTTTTATTTTCATTTTAACTTTTGCTTAAATATACTGCAAGAATGGAGAATGTATGTATGGAGTTATGTATAATATGTCAAGAAGATATTTTTAGAGATTCTATTATGACTGTGTGGCACAAGGGGCTCACAACTTTAGTGAAAATAAGTAGAACTAAAGAATTGAATGATTTGCACTGGTGCACGTGTACTTAAATGTATTTTCAACAAATATTTAATAAGTTATTAAATGTAACTACTAATAATTTAAAAAACGAGTTTTTTGAATTTATATTGAAGAATATTTTTTCAGATACCTCAAGGGACTTTTGAATAAAAAAACCGTCGAAAGTGTATAAGTTCATCATATTTGCAGAAGAAAATTATTAGGCAAAGCCGTATATCTACCCCACCTCCAAAAATTTTACGATCATCAAATGATGCATGTTTCAATCGGAAATATAACTGTTTTCTATGCAAAAAGAAAGCTGAAAAGAAATACTCTACTGTTGCTAAAGTCACTAGATTACTGTTAAAAGATAATTTGATAAATCAATGTCACCAACGCTCAGTGAATCACTTTATATAAGCTAGGTGGACAAAAATATTTTGTTTTGCAATTTGATTTCAAAGAATGCAGTTAATAATATTTTGATTGGTTGCGCATTTTTGATTATTTTTAAGTTTTATATGTAAGTATTTTTTATAGTTTTAAGAATTACCAAGAGCATAATAATAATAATACCAAGAGCATATTGAGCAAATCTATATTTTTGGAAACGTGTGAATTTTTTCATGTATGATGCTCGCGGAATCAACGAAAATCTTTAATGCGGGCCTCTTGAGACTCTTCCGATAGCTGTCCGATTGGAAGAAGATATATTTTTATAACAGGTGCACAAAATACTTGTACTATGTACAAGTATTTTGTGCACCTGTGCATATAATACCACGGGTATAGATTAAGATAAAGAGTTTTGGTTTCAGTACAAATTTTTTCAAATTTATAATAATTAATATAACAGCCTGAGGAACGTGTTCTTAATAAAATACTGAAATTTTTAATGAGATTGACGTTTAAACCCGTAATCTCACCACTTAACTCTGGCTTCATAAAAAACCTGCTAGCTGTGTTCCTATCATTTGTTTTCCCAAAGCTAGGTTTTGATTTGTTTACAATAAGACCCATACAGTTTAAATTATTTTTGATATCTTCTGAACGTTTTTGGACACTAGATTTATCTTCATCGCTTCTAGCTTGCCACTTTTTTACATCTAAATGATAGCTAATGTGTAACACGCACTCAAAAAAGCGAATCCACGCATGCAAAGTAGACAGACCAAAACCATAATGTTCTTATTTAACAACTATGCTCTGTCTTTAAAGACCACTTTCGCATCTGTTTATAAGAATGTCTTGTACACTTAATGACTTGTTATAAACTAATGCCCCGTCACAATTCAACTGCCAGCCACCACAAACAAAGCCTTTTGATTTTATTTTTTTTGACGATTCTATATTTTTTCTGATTAAAGTAACTTGGTTTCTGTGCCCGACATATAATATGCTACTTCAACAGCGGTGGTCAACTCAGTTGCACTTTGTGATTTTACTAGGTCTTCAACCTTTTGTTTTTTGGTTTTAAATAACAAGTCGTTAAAGTTTTTTTTGGGTCGTCGTTGAAATCCTCCAGATGATAAAAAGGGACATCGCTGATATATACTTATTTCAAATTCTACACCTGCTCCCTTTAACCAACATTTACTTTTGTTTAAAAAACGGTCCACTATCATATGTGCTGCAGACCATTTTGTTGCGAATTTTGATGCCAAACATGAAATTTTTATCTGCAAAAACCTCTCTGAACCTCTAGTTACATTAGTTACATCAGTAACACAAAATCTTTGTAAAATAAAACCCAATAAACGATTAAATTTCTAAAAAATGTGGATTGATGTGGTGAAAAATTTTACATTGTTACACACCTTAAGACTTTAGCTATACACTGTTAAAAAAATAATTAGAGTACATGTGAATACAAAAAGTTGTATAAGTTGAAAAATTAAAAATAAAAAAAGATTTTACAATTTTAATGCAGTTTTTCAAACCATATTCTAATACAAATTGATTCTCTTTTGAATAAAATATTTTATGTAATTAAATAGCTATTTAATACTTTATCCAAAAGAGAATTTGTATTAGAATATTCAAAAGAGAATCAATTTGTATTAGAATATGGTTTGTATTAGAATATGGTTTGTATTAGAATATGGTTTGTATTAGAATATAGTTTGTATTAGAATATGGTTTGTATTAGAATATGATTTGTATTAGAATTAAAATTATTATCAATGTGGGACTGTAATTGTGAAAATATTATAAATTAATCGATTTCCTGAACTGACTTTTGTCCACCTAGCTTGCATAAAATGAAACACTGTGCAACAAAACGATAAATGGGGAGAAAAAATTAAAGGAAGATTTGAATGCTGCAACGACATTGTAGCAGAAGAAACAGTATATCACATAACATGATTGACTCGTTTTAAGTTAAACAAATTAGGTGAAAATGAAAGAGCTGGACCAACTAATACATGGATGACTAAAAATTTTTGTCCACCTAGAATATGCAAGTGGCTGGAGGAACAGGCCAATGGCAAACTTTATAAATTAGCAAAAGTTTATAAAAAAATGTTAGAGTTAAATGGGTTTAATCCCTGCTATACCATCAAGTCTTTAAAAAAAAAGGAAAAAACATTACAAATAACATTTATATTTTAAAGAACTTCCTGATTAATCAAACATTATCTGCTTTAGAGATATGGCTTTATTTTTCCTCAACCAATCAAAAACTAAGTAGTTTAATAATTCCGTTGAGATTATTTACGCCGCAGCAAAATTTATAAAAAGTCATATTAGACAATTATCTTGCTCATTAAAACAATTACACTTCACTAAATAAGTTGGGAAATCTTGACAACGGAAAAAAAAGGGTGCCTGACAGCCTTCTTCTATTTTTAGGTCATTTTATATCTTCAGATCTAAAAATGATTTATTGATCGTCTAACAAAATTCGGTTTTTCTGTTTTACCTGACAAAGTATTGCTTTTTAAGCAACCCGCAATCAAAAGTAATAATGTCGATGCAGATAACTGCTCTAATAACTTAGATTTTACACAATATGCTACTGACAATGTGATCATAATATAATAACTCATAACGGGAAAGATATTTTTCACGGCTTGGGTTTAATTTCAATTTCACATTCAATTTCAGCATCTATTACAACAATAAAGCGTCTGGAAAAGGAAAACGAGCATCATATTTTGCAAATCAAGTGGGTGTTAACATAACTCTATTTAATAGATCAAGTTATTATGGTTTGTTAGAGCTGAAGTTGAAACTCATTCACGAGCTAATGAAAGTTCTAGTGCTTCCTAATGACCTAAATTATAACCTGCTATAGTCAGGGCTGGACTGGGCCGCCGGGACACCGGGACGATTCCCGGTGGGCCGCCTGGTTTTTAGCAGGTTGTTTTGATTTGCTTTTGACTTCAAACGCGATTTATGGCTAGCGATAATTATGCGATACCATCCGCAGTGAGATATTTCGTATTTTTAATGATTGCATTTTGTGAAGTGAATCTTTTGAAGTGACAGGTCGTGTAACGGTGAAAACGGCATTTGAAAACAGTGTGTGAAACTACGTGTAGCATAAAGTGAAAAGTTGATGATTGCGTATTCGGGAAGCGGGAGCGATCGGAGCGATCGTTGACCACGGAAATAATATTTAGTTGCGAAAAACTGGCCAGATTTTTTAGTCGTTTTGAGAACATTTCATTTTATGTATGTTTCCATGTTTGTCCGCAAAATAGTTATAAAGTTAAAATGTAAACTTAAATGGGCCTCTAATATTATAGTCTTCTCCTTACGTATATATTTGATAAGATGAGTGAAGATTTGAAGCGGAAAAGTAAAGGCGGGGCAGAAAAGCAACGTGAAAAGAAACAAAAGCTTCTTCTTCAAGGGGGAGAAAAGTGTAAAAAGATAACCGAACTTTTTAGACTAAGTACCCACACCCAGTTTGGTGGTGATACTCTGGTTGATAATTTAGGTTCTCAAATTTCTGACGGCGATCAAGCCGGTCCTGCCGTCTCAGCCTCCGTGAGCTGCACTGTGCTAACTCCATCCCAGAAATCTGTATCCTCTGACTCCCGGCCTCAGAATCAGTGTTCGGAAATTTTCATGCGTCCACAATCGCAGTGCCTTGAATCATTTTTCAAAAGTCATCCGGTTCAACCAAAAGAGGATGGGGAAAATTTACCATTTTCAAATGTTCGTCGAGTGTTTTATAGAAGCCAAGACGATATCAATAGGGTTTGGCTTTCTTACTGTCACAGTTCGAAGGCCATGTTTTGCACAGTGTGTCTGGCCTTCAGCAAAGCTAGTGAATCCAATGCATTTACTGATGGCATGAATGATTGGAAGCATGTTCACCAACGAATCGAGTAAACACCATTGCAGGAGTGTAGAGGCACACATTATGTCGAGCAATGACAAGGACGTATATAGCTTGCTTTTTTCATATCAAAAAAATGTGAGAGCTGCTCAAGTTAAAGAAAAACGGCAAGTTCTAGAACGTGTGATAGAAATTGTTAAACTTATTGGAAAGCGAGGACTTAGTTACAGATCTATCAATGACGCAGCCTACTGTCTGGACAATGTCAATATTGACCACGGGAACTTTTTAGAAATTTTAATCCTTCTGTCTAAATTTGACCCGCTTATGAAAAATCATCTTGACATCGTGACGGAGAAAAGTAAGCAACGACATGTCACGTGCGCAGCATCAGGAACGAAGGGACGAGGAGGGTTAGTAACATTTATTTCAAGCACTACTGTCAATTATGTAATTGAATCTGTTCGCCGTATGATTAAGGCATCGATTGCAGATGAGATTCAATCGGCAGGAATGTTCTCCGTGCAACTGGACACAACGCAAGATGTTAGCGTAAAGGATCAATGCTCGATTGTAATCCGATATGTTAAAGACCATATTTACGAGCGACTGGTATCCGTCAGCAATTGTACTAATTCGACAGGCAAGGGTATGTTCGAGCTGTTCCGGGATGAAATTGTCAAAATGGGCATAAACATTGAAAACTGTGTGGGAAACTCTACAGACGGGGCGGCAAACATGCAGGGCCAATATTCCGGTTTCACAAAATGGCTCAGTGAGGCATCCCCAAACCAAGTGCATGTGTGGTGTTACGCTCATGTATTGAAACTTGTTCTTGTTGATACCACACAAACCACCAAAGCTGCTATCAGTATATTTCAGCTTATAAACAAATGTGCTGTTTTCTTGCGCGAATCATATATACGAATGGACATATGGGCGTCAAAACAATCAAACAATAGAAGACTAAATGTAATTGGCGAGACACACTGGTGGGCAAAGGACCATGCATTAAAAAAAATATTTGGAAGCTTCAACAACCCATCGACGTCCTTGTATATTGAGCTAATTGAAACTTTACAAGAGTTAGCCTCCTCTGAAGACTTTAACCCAACTGTTCGCGACACCGCCCAAACCCTATTAGATAAGTGCATCTCATTTGAAACAATTCTTACCGTTCAAGTTTTTTTGCGTATATTCCAACACACAGCATCACTTTCCAAGTACCTGCAGACAAGTGGGATGGACGTGCTCCAAGTCTACCGAAACGTTGACTGCACTATCAAGGCACTGCGAGACGTGTCCAGACACTTTGATGGCATTAATGCGAGCGCTAAAAAATTTGTCGAGTGGGCCAACAACTCATTGGAAGATCTGAAAATTGATGTGACGGTTGAAGCTGCATTGCCAGAGAAAAAAGCAATGAGTGGTGAGCGACGCACTCACGAGGCTGTCGGAGAACGCGCAATTGATTGCTACAGGATAACGGTACACAACTGCGTTATGGACAAAGTAGTGAAAACTTTGGAAGAACGCTTTAAAGCTCAAGACACGTTGTTCGCTGACATGACGTGCTTGAATCCGGAAAATTTCTACGATATCAAGAAAAACGGTATCCAACCTACTGCCTTAGTACGTCTCAGCAGCATTCTAACAAAATTTAATAAAGATGCAACAGCTTCAAATTTACAATCCGAACTCATCGACTTTTCGCTCAAGTGGAGCAAATTTAAGAAGACCGTTCCTGAAGAGTATTTGGGCATGAACTTAGCGGAAAACCGAAACGACAACGATGAATTGAAGAACGACGAGGAAACTGCAGTTTCTTCTTCGTTCTCTGAAGACAAAGAAACTCATGGTAAATGCAAGAGTTCCAAAAATTGCCCCGTCTGTTGCTTCACGGTTTTACACAAATACAATTTCTACAGCAAAGCCTACACCCATTTGTACAATGCTTATAAGCTCTTGCTGACTTAATCGTCTACTCAAGTTGCGTGTGAACGGTCCTTTTCCAAATTAAAATACATTAAAAATAGACTGCGAAGTTTAATGTCGTCCACGCATTTAAAAGCTTTCATGCTGATGTCTGTCGAAGTAGATGTTATGGTTAGGCTGTCCAACGAAGACATCATCAACTCGGTTGCAGAAATCGCACCTGGGCTAAAAGCACATCTGGTCCTTTGATCCACTACCATCCACATTCGGTAAGTTTCGATAATATGGCGTCAGAAACATTATGTTATTACGGACGTTACCAAATCATAATTGATGGGTTATTTTTTTTGTTAATATCGAGTGCAACACATTATAACCACAGAATTCTGGAGACAGCATGTATACCTTTTATGATTGCAATACAGATTCTATTGGTCGAATGCAGTTTTGCACTAGCTATACCATGTATAAGGTACGTGCTATAAATATTACTGTTAAAGCATCAAAGTCGATTATCAGATGTTTTTGTGCAACTTAGTCAAATAATTGTTTTGTAGTAGAGCAGAGAGCTTGCACATTATAGTATAGTTGTGACTTTTCGAGCGATATTTTCGACTACCTATTAAAACATATTGAAACTTCTATATTATACCTGTATGGTAAATGGTAGCTATATACCTATATAGATATATATAAATATATATTATGCAAGAATAAAAATGTGAAGCAGTCTACAATTTGTAGGCCTTAAAAATGTCGCCGTAATTTTATCTAACTCCTGAACATGATACGAACTTTTTTGCTGCTGCTATGCAAGTCGGAAATTCCCAGCTGAACCCCCCCATCCTCCCCTGCCCCTTAATGACTTAGTATTGCTGTATGTGGGCCGGACCGCTTGGCTTACAGTCCCGGGCCGCTTGACCACCCCCAGTACAGCCCTGGTTATAGTTAACTTCATGGTTCTTTAATTCTGAAAAGAATCCTCGTCCCAATTGGTCCGGTTTCATCCAGCATGTAACTAGCTCATCAAAAATATATGAAAAAGCAACGGTTATATTTCTTCTAATTATTGATTTGAATCCAACGAATGAAACTTGTATACATTCCATTCTTCTCAATGCACAGCAAAATCCAAGATTCTAGGTTAAGAACTTTTGTTCTTATTTTAAGAACTTTTGTTCTTATTTTAAGAACTTGATTCTTATTTTAAGAACCTGATTCTTACTTTAAGAAACTGATTCTTATTTTAAAAACTTGATTCTTGTTTTAAGAATTTGATTCTTATTTTAGATTTCCATTCTTATTTAAAGATATTTCAATAAAAAAAATTGTTCCTAATTTTATAATATTGTAACATTTTGTTTGTATATAATATGTATATATATTTATATATGTATACATATTATATACAAACAATGTTTATATATATATATATATATATATATATATATATATATATATATATATCTGCAGGTATACCTAAAAAAAATTAAAGAATTCAGAAAAATTAAAGCCACTGAATTTCCCTTTCTGAAAATCCTCCCCACCCTCTGATAGATCTTGTGTTCATGATTTTATGTAATCAAATAGTCTAATCCATTTGATCCATAAGACTAAAATACAAACCAGAAAGAGTCGTATACTTCAAGAATTTTATAGAACTTGCCTTTAATAAATGCAATATTCATATCTGCAATTCTGCATAAATCTAAACAGCATAGTGAATCTTTTGTATGGGCGACGTAGTAGCAGAATAATATAAATGTAAGGTGCAAGCATGCATAAGAGCGATTTGGTTTGAAGTGCTCCAAAGCTGTGCACTTCTTTATAATAAATGAAGTTAATAAAAATGAATAAACTGCCGAGCGACGGATCAAGGAGTTTTTGTGTGGCTAAAGACTCTGCCCCTTCCGCCTATCCCCCTCCCAACTCATTAGGGCCCCCAAATCTTAAAAACCTACAGTCAATTACAAGCGTTATGTTTATGAGCGCATGCTCAAAAAGTTAATAAGAAATTTTAGAGATTTTAAAATGGCTGCGGATCTTAGCTACATGTTCAAAAAGTTCAAAAGGATCTTAGGTACATGTTTATAAAGTTCATAAGAAATTTTAGAGATTTTAAAATGGCTGCGGATCTTAGATTTTTTATATAGCAACTTTTTTTTAATTTTAGTTTTGTAAAAATTAATGCTGCAACTTATTTATTAAACTCGTGATGAGTGGAGTATTTGGACCAAATGTTGTTTGTTGTATTCAAACCTAGCACCCAATTTTTTAATAAGTGGAATAACATCAATAAAACTATATTAAACCAGCAATATATTTTTCTAAAGTCAAATAGATTGTATTAGTTAAAAGCAAATCTCTTTTAATATTAGGTACGATTTACGGAACCGATTGTGCTATAACTTTGTGGCTCGTTTTTTTAGAAATATATATATACAGATAGATACTTTTTTGAAAGAAGAAAAATTAATCTTGATTTTTATGTATGGTTACTGAATTTTTTTATGGATTATTTTGGTTCTGAAAAATAGGTTGATGTTCTCACATAAATATGTAGTCGAAGGAATATTGATACCGGTCTATTTATTATTCAAACAAATTTCTGCATGCAATTTCTATGCACATATCAAATTTCAACGAAAAAAAAGGGAGCAGATAGGTTTCAAAGGGTTCTACTACACATACTGCATTTTTTCGGTAGTCTTAGTAAAACGTACTTTTGTGGTATTTCTTTTTAAAAAAATATGCAAGTAAAGATTTGTTTTTGAAAGAAGAAAGGTTAAGCGTGATTTCTAATTGATTAAGCGTGGTTACTTAACTTCTTTATGAGTTATTTTGCTTCAAATTTTGCATGAAAATTTAGACAATGTTTTTACTTGAATTTGTAGTAGGAGGAATGTTGATCCTGATCTATTTATTATTTAAACAATTTTCTACATGCATTTTCTATGTAAATGCTAAATTTAAACAAAAAAAAGGGAGCAGGCAGTTTACTAAGTGTAACACTTTTGGTACCTAATTTCTGTTTTTCTGATTTTTTTTTGGTTATAGCAAATTACAGGGGCAGCTAGGGAGGCCATTTGCAAAACAATTGTTATTGCAAAAATGTTTATTCGGATTTTTATAATATGGAAAAAATTAATGAAGTTTTGTTGGACTCTGTAACAACTAGTAAGTTATTTTTTTTAATAAAAGTTTAAGTAATAATTATTTTTAAAAACTAAATTATGTTGATAAATTTAAATTTTTTTTTTAAATTCTTAACGTTTAAGGCTAAAACTTTAGTAAAACTGTTGCTTTTGAATTAATTGTTAGCTCAATTGAGTTACAATTGAGAATACTTTGATCAAAGTATCAGTAGACAACTTTATAAAAACACCATACATAAATAAGTGTAAAAATCACATACTTTATGTTATGTTACACTTATCTTTACACTTATTTACTTTACTAACAAAAGCCTTGTTAGTGTTTTTAAAATATATTATCATCATCTTAATAAGACAATAGCCTATTAAAAGGATCCCAAACTCCCAACATATGTTGTGTTCATATTAAAGATAATGTTAAAAAAAAAGGTTTGAACCAAATTATTTTGATTAAAAATAAATAATGAATGCATACCGTGAAAAACAAATGTTGTTGTTTTTGCCGAAGCTCGTCTTCTCCATTTTTTTGAACTAATCGGTGTCTTCAAATTATGCGTCGCAATCTACAGACTTTGGCAATTCCTTTGAAGCGCGTTTAATTCATAAAAGTTTTAGTATTTGACGTCACGGTAGACTTTTAACAAAAGAAAAGTGTAATTAAACTAAGCTGCGTTTTTCTACTGTAGTATTTTTTTAACGTACAGCAAAACAAATTTATTTGTATTATTTTTCCAAACATCGCAAAAAAAGTTTTGTAAAAAGTAAAAACAGTTAATTATTTTTATTTTATAGGAGCAACTTATTTTTTACAGATATCTTAATAATTTTTAGATTTATATATCTTACTTATATTTCTTTAATTATTTAAATTAAAACAAATATTAAAGCTTTCAGGGCCGGCGCGAGTAGGTGTCACGTGGGGGTGGGGGGGTGTCATTACAACTTTTGCCGACTAAAAAAAAAAAAAAAAAGAAAAAAAGGTCCTCGTTTTCCAAAATTTGCCGACTGTCATGACGACATTTGCCGACTGTCTAACCGACATTTGCCGACTAACTAGGTTCGATTTGCCGACTAAGGGTGCAATTTGCCAACTAAGGGTCCAGTTTGCCGACTAAAAATCATTGATGGGGGGTGTCACACACCCCCCCCCCACACACACCCCTATCGCGCCGGCCTTGAAAGCTTTACTTACCAATCTCATGATTTTCATACGAGTATTTTACATTATATAGAACGTTTTATATACAGTCTCTTGTTTTTGCGCAAGAGAGCGCAGTATTATATATCCTGATTCTTAATTATTTTTATTTAAACAATGGGAACTATTTTCTAACTTCTCTGGTTATTTTTACGCTATGACAATTTTTTTGTTTTTCCGTTGAAAAAAAGCATTTGTTAACAATTACTTTCATAAACTGACAGTATTAATTTGAGATATTTAATGAACTGTTAACTTTTTTCATTATAAAATTTTTTTGATCACGCTGATTTAATTTAAATTGCTAAATTTGCTGAATTGGATTAAAAGGAAATACCATTTTATTTTACATTTGATTTTTGATAATGAAATTTTTATAATGTCAGCAACTCCATACCAATTAGAACCTGTTAAGATTATGAAAAAAAAGTACAAGAATACACTAAGCAATACAGTTGACAGTAGTATCAGATATCAAAATTCGTGAAAGGATTTGTGAGATCCTGATTTTGCATTAAAAGTACAATTAATTGCAACACAAGTCGGGACTATAAATTTTTCATTATAAGTTTACTGTTCAATATTTTATAACCATCAAATAAGAAACATGAAGTTTGTATACTTTTGCCCGTTTTATACAACTAATATTTAACAAAAATACGGACAAATTATTATTAAATAACGCAATAATTAACACATTTATTTAAGGCAATTTTTAATTCAACATAGATGGTAATTTAGATTGTTAAAATGTCATAACGCGCATTAAAAAACATATTATATTTGGTATTTCCAAATTTGTGTCGTAATTGGCATTTGTCTCTTAACATGAAAAATTAAAAACTTTTAAAAACACAATTAACAAATACAAATTTTCAAGCAATTTTCTCTTCCAATTCTATTTTTTTCAAAGAAAATTTACTATTAAACTTTTATTTCTCTCATCTAAAAAAAGAACGAGTGAAGCAAAAAAAAATATATTCTATACAACTTTTGTTTAATTGCGCGAAAATTTTCTTTCTCTTTTGTTCTACTCTTTTATAAAAAGAGCGCGCGATGAAATAAAAACTTTTCTTTTTTAACATATAATTATAGTTTGTGATAGAAATAAATCAACAATGAGCAAAGCAACGAACAGATTAATCTGGAGCTATTTTGATATTTATGAAAATAATCAACATAAACAACATTACCAACAACAATTACCAAATAAACAACACAATCTCGCATAATTTTAGGGGCATTTTTTTTTTATTGCTAAGACGTTCTAAATAATAAGTAAATTTAGTTCAAGTTAATAATTATTAACTTGAACTAAATTTACTTATTATTTAGAACGTCTAAGCAATAAAAATAAAATGCCTTGTTTTACATTAATCATAATTAATGTTAAACAATTTTTGAGATAATAAATATTCATAATTTATAAACATTAAATATATGGCGCAATAACAATTTATAGTAACGAACCAGCATGAAATATTTAAGGTTTTTATTATCTTTTTACATATTAAAAGTAGAAAAATAAAAAACTAAACAAATAATCAAAAAAACTTCGACTAAAAATAAATAAAAATATTTCTAGAGTTTCTTTTGTTAAAAGTCTACCGTGACGTCAAATACTAAAACTTTTATGAATTAAACGCGCTTCAAAGGAATTGCCAAAGTCTGTAGATTGCGACGCATAATTTGAAGACTCCGATTAGTTCAAAAAAATGGAGAAGACGAGATAAAATTGATAATCAACTAATAATATTCAATAACAATTTTATCTTTTATACTATCAATATTATTTTATATTAATAATTTTGAATTATAAATTTCAAATTAATAAAAAATTAATAATAATTATTAATTTATTGTTTACCACTTTAACTTTGTAGCAATATTCCAAGTGTTAGTTTGTTGTTTGTAATTAGATTTTTTTAAATATTTTCATTGTTAATTTTCTGTTGAAGTTTTCATTTTGCCATTTATGATGGTAGAGTTGAAAAAAGTAAACAAGAAATAACAAGGCAGAATTTACACTATTTCTTATTGGAAACAAGATGGAACTGATATTGAACTGTCAAAAGATTTAAAACTCCAGCTAGTTGCTGTTGTTATATCAGGGAAGTTTAAATTTTCTTAATTGGAATATGAAATTAATGTAAAAATGCTCACAGTATAGCAAGTTTTGTAACCAGCAAAATAACTGCCGCAAGTTTTATGGCTTGCAAATAGGTTTTGCAAGTTTTGTGGCTTGAAAATAAGTACAACAAGTATTTTGACTAGCAAATAAGTACCACAAGTTTTGTTGCTTGCATATAAGGTACAGCAAGTTTTGTGGCTTGCAAAGATGTACCACAAGTTTTGTGGCTTGCAAATATAGTACAGCAAGTTTTTTAGCTTACAAATAGGTATTGGAAGTTTTGTGGCTTGCAAATAGGTACTGCAAATTTTGTGACTTGCAAAATAAGTATCGCAAGTTTTGTTGCTTGCAAATAAGGTACAGTAAGTTTTGTGGCTTGCAAATAGGTACCGCAAGTTTTGTGGCTTGCAAATTGATAGTTGGCTCTGGCTTACCTTTAGGTGGTGTCTATTGTTAAAAATTATTCATTTTGTTTCGTTAATGTAATTTAAAAATTAAATTATGTACTGGAAGCCCAGACAAGAAATAATTACATTTTTTATTTCAAAAAACTTGTTTTTTTTGTGTGTTTTTTTTCAGGTTGGAGTGGTTAATCTGTTCCTTTACATGATAATGTATACTCAGATGCATCTTGTAATGTGGTAAAATAGTTTTTTTATTTTAATTTCTTTTTCTTTAAAAAAACATTTTAAGACTTCTTTGTTAAATTGTAATTAAAATTTTTTATTTGGTTCCGACAGAGGAGGGGGATAGCTTGCTCCTCTTTTTATAAAGACAAATTATGCACCACTAGGTGTATAAATTGCCTTTATGAAAGGGGGTGCATAAAGGCAATTTATACATACTATACTACACTTTTTTATTTCAAAAGGCTTGTTGTTTTTGTGTATTTTTTTTTAGGTTGGAGTGTGTAATCCGTCTTTTTTGACAAAATGATTACTCTAATGCATTTTGTAATGTGTTAAAATATTTTTTTATACTAATTTCTCTCTGTTTTTTAAAAAAGCATTTTAACATTTTATTGTGAAATTTTCAGAAATTTTTTTTTTCAGCTTCATGGCAGGGGGGGGGAAGGCAGTTTACGCCCTCTTCCATCAAGGCAATCTCTACACCACTAGTTACTCTTTGTTGTAGTGTTGAAATATATTTTTTTGTTTTTTATAATAGATTTAATCATTTTAGTAAAGATTGTAATAATTAAAAGAATGAAATTTTGATAGGGTGTGTTGAACCTTCCCCAAAACCCAACACAGAACTTTAAGATAAACCTGTAATATTTGCTAGTGATGTGGAATAAATGATAACTTGTTGTATTTAAATATTACTAATTTTATAAAGAAAACACTCTATTAAAAACAAAAAGTTGTATTTTTGTGAGGTGTAGGTGGCGGATTAGCACCCCTCTGTATCCCTCCATGCGCCCTTTACCTAGACACTAATTTGAAATTATTGCCCATTTTTACATCTATCTTTTGATACTAAGTAATAGATATTTAAATAAGAATTGTCAAAGTTATAATAATTTATGTAGAAAATTTTTTTTTTTTGACCACAGTTTTATCAAGAAATCCATATATTGAAAAATTGCTACTAAAAACGTTATATTTTTTTATGGAATTGTCTAATTTTCATAATTTTCACCTTTAAAATACTGTATTTGAGGGCTTTCCAATGATATATAGCATTCTGGTATTGGATCAATTTAAAAAAATCATTCCACGTACCTATTAATATAAATTTTATTTCTCAAACATACTACAAACACTCTAATATGATATATTATACATACTTATAATTTATGAACCAATAATTTTTTATGAATATCTAATCTAAAAACAAGATATTTAAGTTAATTTACTTTCAAGAATATCACTCATTCTAAGATTCTTTTCTTTCTATTTAAAATCAAATTGTGTGCTCTTGTTCATCTATTAAATTATCTATTTGTAAATTATCTTCCTCTTTTAGCAACCTTAAATTACATATTCTAAATCATTGTTCAGTTAAGTGCAGCATATTAGATCACATCACAAACCAATGCATAAAATCATGAAATAATATATCATTTTTTATTGTTAGAATTTTTTTTTTTTTATATTCACTTTATATCACTAAACTTTACTACTAAAACTCATCTTTATTTCTTTTTATTTTGGAGAAATGTAATTACTGTTCGTAAAATGTTGGACTTATTGTGGGTCATTATTATTGCTTTTGGTATGATTATATGTAATATAAATATCAAAGTTATTTTAATTCTATTCATATCACTATTACTTATTGTTATTGTTTAATATTAAATTTAATATTTATCAATATTATTGTTACTATTATTATTGTTATTATTATATTAATATAAATATAATTGTTGACATTACTTACCTCGTTATAATTGTTTTAATATTGTTATTGCTATTATTATTTTTTTACTTAAGATTAGTATTAGTACTATTTCTAAATATCCATGTTTATGTTGCATACATACACATATATGACATATTTGTGTGTGTTTTCTTTTAAGCAATTGCAAGTTTCCAAATACATGCAAAGTAAGTAAAGAAAACAATACTTTTCAATTAGTAAATTTAGTATTATTAATTAATTTTAATTTTTTACATTTTTTATCCTTATTTTTTATAACATGATCAATTAAAATGCACTAGAACTTTGTTCTGGTGCATTTTAATTGAACTAAGTATAAAATTTTAATTTATTAACCTGGGTGAATAAATTTCCGATTGAGAGAGTTAATAGAGTTGCAGCATTTTTAGAGAAATATCAATGTTTCCCTAATGTGCTATTGGTAAAATTTTTTTCCATTTGTGATTTCATATATTTATTGGATAAAAAGAAATAGTGTTTGAAAATCACAAATCCTTTTTTTAAATGAGAAGGTATTTTCAAAACTGCTATGTCCTCTAATGGGTTATTCTATAAGTTTTCTCTGCTTTTTAAAGTTGTATGCTTTTTTTATTATTTTTATTTAATTCAGATTGTTGGCGACATGGCACATTTATTAAAATCTTCTCTCACAGTTGACTCAGCAAGAATAAAGACATTGATACCATTTTGGTTTATGGAATACACAAGTTGGCAGTTCCTCGCCCACTGCCACCCAAATACAGGTAGGTATGCATGCACACACAACCCTCAAAATTACTAAAACTAAAATGAGTTATAAATTGTCGATATTTTAAGATATGAAAAGATATTATTGTTAAATATTGAGTTTGTAAAATTTATTTTCAGGTATAAGAAATCCTTATCTGTACGTAACAGACGATGAAAACGAAGGGATTATTATGTGTGGCAAAAGATTATTTTATGAAGTTTGAACAAGCATGAACAAAACATTCCAAAGAATAATTTGTTATTTCAACGATTAGATTTGTTGTTTAAATGTATAAATGTTTGTTGAATATTCTTATTATAAAACATCCTAATTTCAAAATAATGTTTCATTTTTTTCATAGAAAAAGTACATTTGTAATATTGTTTTATAGTTCAGAGGAAAGATTATTGAAAAAAAATAGAATCTTATTTTAAATAAAAAAACATTGAAACAAGTAAAAAATGATTTTTTTTAAGGAATAGATATTTCAGAAATTTTAATCATTGCATCATGCACTGCATTACTAAATGGTAACCCATAGATTTCTGACACTATCTTTAAATCCGCAGCCTCTTGTCAAATCACCTTTACTTTTTATAATTTGCATTAAAGTCTGTTCTATAGTAAGATTAGTACATAATCCAGCCCAGTATCTATCGGATCTTCTTACAGCATGACAACCATATATGAAATTTTTGTATTACCATGGGTGTATTTTTGAAAGTGACAGCATTTCTTGAATATATATTCTAGAACTTTTTGAATAATTTGCATGTCCAGTTGCTGCAAAAAAGATTCAACATTTTTTGTATATAGTAATGATTCGTTAACCAGTTAAAAGTTCTTTTAGAACCAGTTAGAAGTTCTTTTAGCCAGAATAAACTCTTTAACTATAGTAATGTATTCCGCATAATAAATCCATAGTTAAAATATTCTTGACTTTTTTTTTTCATTTTTTTTTTCAGTCAAAAAAATTAATTTCATAAACAACAATTTCATTATTTAAAAGCAATTTACGCAGTACATTGCAAGCTAAAAAGTGTGTCCTTAGAGCTTTAGATACTGCTTTTCCTGACATAATGTGAACTACACTATTCTCTGCATAAATCTCTTAGAAGAGTTCTTTAAGCCCAGAACCATCCATAAGTTTTCCAATACTGCCAAGAAAACTCATCAGCAAATGAAATCCACCGAGTCTGCAAACTATATCTTGATCTTTGATGATACCAGTTACCTTCAACCATAATGGATGAGTTATAGTAGGTGTGTGAACTCTGTTTTTCCTGGCTTCATCTATTACACACAGCAAAATCCAAGATTCTTGTTTTAAGCAAAAAAAGTCTTAAAACAAGAAAAAAATGACTTATCCTCCAAGTAAGAATATTTTTTCTTGTTTCAAGAACTTATATTCTTAAAATTATGTTTTTTTTTCTTGTTTCAAGAACTTATATTCACTCGAGCGAAGAACATCTTGAAATGCAGTTTTCAAGAAGATCTCAAAATTTTAAAGACTTTGAAAGCTTTTTCAGCTGGTTGAATGCCATAAATCCGTTTTCATTTGAAAAAGAACATGGTTCATTTCAACAAGAGTTGATAATAAATGCAAATGTGCGTTTTTTTAAAAATGAAACGCTGATTTTCATGTTTTGTAAAAAAAAATATATATATATATTTTTCTTTTACAGAACAATACTTTTTAACAACTACTAGGTATCGGCGTCTTGCGATTCTTAGTTTGAGTATATAACGATTATCTTTTTTTAGGTTTTTCTGTTGTTTTTGTTCGCGCCATTTTTTCTGAAGAATATTTAAACAATATTATAATATTTCAAGAT